TATCTTCAAATGAGAAGGATTTTGATTGCCACAGATACTTTATGATTTAAAAAATATTTAATACAGTATCTAAAATGTGACTGCACAGAAGTTATGTCTTAAGAAGCTAAACTTCTGACTAAGCCAATTTCCACTGCCAGCAGTAGGTTGGGGCCTGGATAATGTATAAGAAGGCCAGCTACTATAACTAGAAACAAAAGAATACCATCAATACCTACTTAAGGAATCAAGTATTTACTTAACTCCTAGTCATCACTTTGACCCCCAAATTTTCATTTTACCAATATTCATTCATCACTAAAGTGGAGAATTCCCACAATATTATGCAACACATCTCAATACTATACCATAAAATGTACCAATTACTACACAACTTGGAATTGTAATTACCATTATAAATACACAGCACTGCACTATGAGAAGTGACTACAACTGTTGCACTAACCATCTCTAACAAGCTAAATATATAAAGGTACTATACTGTACAGTATTACTGTATGTAAGGGTGTAACAATAAATTCACAAGTTCTACAAATTTAACACGAAATATTCTCTCTTTCTATATAAAAAAGACAAACAAAACAATATATACAAAACAATGTACAAATGTATCTAACAATGTTAACTAAGTCATCAAGGTTTGGTGTTCATTTCTACTAAATTACAACCAATATTCTCAACAGTTTGCCTTCAAATAAAAAGCAATTGTAAAGATCAGCATTAGATTCTCCAATTAATACACTGATCAATGCTAATATACTGTATCTATTACAGAGCCAAAGTCAATGGAGCAACTATCTCTAATTACTATATTTATCTGTGCCATGAACAAGCCTACTCAAAACTACTGATCTGTACCATAAAGAGCACCTTGGTCTACATTGTACAACATCTCACCTCTATTTGATTTTCTTCTACAGCCTCTGATTGTGACCAATCAACCCCAGCAATAGCTGTGACTGTTGTAGTAAGGCCAGAAAGAGACTGAGGAATGCAAAATAAGAGAGAACACACAAAGAATAAGTATATAGATAGTTCTTCAAAAATGCAAGGTTAATCCTAAACTCATATTTCATGGCCAAGCCTGAATCAAGGAACTCGAGTATAGCCTGAAAATCCAGGGTTCCCGGGGCCTCTGATATTCTTAACTAGAACTAATTAAAAATCAGTTGACAATCCTATTAAAAACCCAATCCCCTTAAAAATATTAATAATATGATAATAATAAAAAAAAAGAGATCTACAAGGTGAAAGTTACCACTTCAAACAGAAGGCTAAGAGTCTTCACAATAACATGTGTACTTTTTGACTCACACATGACTGGATTACAAGTGTGTCATTTCACTGGTAGATTCCTCAGTTCCAGCTCACTTCAACAGCATCCACAGGAAGAAAGAGAATCTTGGCTATAAAACAGAATTTCAGGATAAATTCCTCAACAGCAGCCCAAGTAACTCAAGTATCTCATGTCAGCTAGAAATGGGAGGAAAGAGGCACAACAATTTCATGTGCTTGTGCAACATATGTACTCCCAAATAATTTACAAACAAAAGCATAGTAGAATGAAAGGAATAAACATTAAATTCTCTAAGGTTATGCAGCTCTGATATAAAGCTAACTATCAGCAAATACCGGTATGTGATAAAGCTAAGTATCAGCAAATACCGGTATGTGAAGTACACCTACAAGTAGGCCCTTTTCTCGAAATGAATACACACTAATAAGAAAGACCACTGAAGATGTAACACCTCTATGGTCATGTGACAACAGATTGCAACATCACTAAACCAGGACACTCCTAGCTCAGCTCGACACAAAATGCGTTCACGGAACTTTTAAGAATAAGGACAAGACAGGAGACTACTTCTTACCTCACTCTCAGATAAATCTATTGAACATTCAACTGTAAAATTGAATGGAAAACAAAATTTCATTAAGGCAAATGCTGCCCCTAATGTACATTTCCCTGAAAAGTTTCAGAAAAGCTGATCCCAATAACTAACTTGCATATCCTGAAAAATACATGAGATGTAATGAGCTAGGAGTTTGCAAGACCCAACACTGCAGAGACAAACTCTCAGAAAAAGAATAAATTAAGCAAGTGCCTCACATTCTATCAAAGAGATGGAGTGAAATGATGTCTGCTGTTGCTGCACAGTGGACTGGAATTAAGGGTAAGCCAATAAATAAATGCTTTATAGAAAAGTACAATAATACTGTATGTGGGCCAAGAAAGTCGCATGTTAGAATGGTAGAAGAGACTCCAAGCCTTCAGCCTAAAGTGGCAGCTTTTACCTCCCAGGAGTGCCTTGATATTAAATGGTTAATGTTGCAATGGGAAGGTCAACTAATTTTCAAAAACGTTCCAGTCAGCCATATCAAGAGATCCTGGGAAACCAGGGCTTTGAACCCTCAATCTTGTTTGTCTCTGAGTCAATGGTAACAGGTTATAAACATTACAAATGCAATTCATAACAAACATTCCTTTAGTGTTCCCATTTTTCTAAAAAGAAAAAAGAAAGAAAGAAGGGAAATATGATTGGCAAACAATATTAAAGAAATAAAATAATCACAAAAAGGTGAAAATCATATTCTTGGATAGAATAAATTACCAAATAATGTACAGGTATTACAATTGGCTACAGGCACAATAAATGATACTTAATAGATACAGCATTATCATTTTACATTTTTGTATTTAAATTGTATTGTGAACATAAATAAAACAAGTAGCACAGTACTGCACTGTGCAATTTTGAAAATTGGGAATTCTGATTTAAATATGCAACCAATGACAGCTTAATGGGTAAGTGTAGTTGTGTACAGTACATAATATGCTCTAAGAATTAACAATACCTTTTGTCTTATACAGTATACTGTACAGTACAGTACCTGAATTTCAACTTAATTCCAACAAAAAGCAATTAACAAAGCTCGTGAAATAATCAATCTATGGAATGCAATTAAGAGTCAAGTGAATCATATGACATCTGGAAGTGGTCTCAATCCCTAAGTGTGGCCAATGTACATACAGTATACACAGCTGTAGGGTATTGTGGTCAATGTATATGTACACCGTACTTTCCCGCCATGACTTTTAAAGGCCTACAGTATTACCTTCCCACGTTCCCAATGTTTATATCTTGAGTTATGGTGAGCCTAGGCAATGCATGGGTGTCAGAAAGTCTTGGGCCATTATGGAGAGTAGACCTAGTTATGTATGCAAACATACTGTCCGAAGGAAGCAGAAAAGATGCACAGTACAGTAGTACCTGGACTACAATTTGTTGCCCAAAATGTGGTGTAGGTCTGTGTCAGTAATTGCTTTGGTGGAGTTCCACACACTGAAATTCTTTTAATCACCGTGTGTATGTGTAGGAAAGGTGTAAGTACACTGTATTATTGTGAAAATGTCATTACTATATATATAAAATGATGTGTGTGTATGTGTATTTCATCTCATATTCTGTTCTGTAAAGAAATAATCTATTTTTGTTAGACACAAAGGTCTTGTGTAAGTTTGTTTGTCTGTCTGTCTGTGTATTCCATGATATATATGGTGTGAGATGTGTGTAGTAGGTCTAGGAGTACAGCTTATCTCGAGAGGTGAACACACAACTGTGTAAGGAGTTAGAAAAAATTATTATTTCAGTCTCTGGTAGAGTACTGTATATTATTTTTACAAATATTTGTGGACCATAATTAGCACAGACAGTGGGTAAAAGTTGTTCTATATTATATAATACAATGGACTACCATTAATGTTATTAAAAAATATATATAATATACAGAAAAACATAATTTTCATCCCTTCAAACAAAGTACCTGTACAGTATTCATGCTTCCTTGACACACAAACTCAGCCAACATCATGTGATAACCAGGCAACCCACTAAATCTAGTCCACCACTACGTGGAGTCTCCACCATAATATATCATTCTTGCATACAGTACGTTTTTACTACTACAGATATTTAATGAAAAAAAAAATAAAATCAAAAGTAACACCCGAAAACCCTGTATTTTGGGGGGCGCAGACAGTGTGTAGCAAAGTTTCAGAAAGCCGTTTGTTAAGGGTTAATAGAAAATTTGACAATCAACTTAATGTTAAGCTAGAAAATATCAGGAAAAATTATTTCTGAGTAAAACACAAAAATGGTTAACCTCAAGCTTTTCTTTCACTGTCAACCACTTTTTCGTTGTGCCTCTCCTCCCCATGGTTCCAGAGATATTTCACAAAGAAAGTGAGAAAATATCAATAAATCCTTCAACTATGTGATCACAACACACAAAGACAAAGGAACAGGCAAAATATGTGGGCAACACTTTCAAAGAGAACCCACACAATCGCTTGGGGAGTCACGTGACCAGTCAATCAGAGTTGTCCTGTGTGCCTCCAGAGCATTTGCAAGTATCAAACCACAAGAAAATTCACATGTACCAGAAGAGTACAGGCATTTTTAGAATCAGGGAGGTGGGCTGGATCTTCACATGAGTAAGTACATAAGAACGAAAACATCAGAAACACTGGATGGCTCTCAAATTTGGTTCCTGGAAATTTCTGGCTATGGGACATTCAGCTAAGGAATACTTTACTGATACGAGTATTAAATCCCCTCGTTTTCCATTTTCTGCAACTAAACAAATTATGCTCTTCTAAACAGGATTCATACAGCTTGTTCTGTACATACCAGGGAATCATCTTTTTGGCTCATCACTCACTATATTTTTCCATTTTCAATATTTTTTATACTAAGGAGTCCAATTTGGTACACGACATTCAATGAAAATATGCACTTAAGCCTTGTAGAGTGTATATATCTGTCCTAATTACTTCACTTAAGTACAGTACCTTCCAAACCGCGGAACAGAAAAATATGACATGCATTTTTGTCCACCTAAGGTAGAACAGAGTTCAGAACATATAATTACAAAATATTGTATAGAAATGAAATACCCCCTGTAAAAACAACACAGATATAGAACACTTGCCAACTTACCTTAGAGCCAAGGGTAGTGGCCTGAGTCGCTATTTCCTCTATCAGGTTGCCATCACGGACCTAGCGTTAAAAACATCAAAATAAAAGAAATCAACATTACAACATCAGCATGCTCTACTCTACACTTGACAGCATTCTACTGTACACTAAAAAAAATAAATCTACTTAAAGGTCTTTTTCCTGGTTGCTATACAAACCATTATTTTATAATTATGTCACTCTTTGTTACCTAGAGCCAATACCACCACAACAATAAGACAACAGCCTCACAACATATTCCTCATTCAATAATGACCTTAATCATATATGAAACAAATAATCAAGGAACAGTTTCCTTTACCCTATTCAACAATAAGCTACAATAAATCAGGTTGTGAATAATTTATCTCGTCAGCCTAATCTTAGTAACTCTCGACCAACTTGACCAAAAATGTGAGTAATCTTACTAGATGAATAAGCCATAACAATCTTAATAAATATTAAACCTTATCAATTCTAATGCACAGGCTTCACCCGGGTTCCAGTCCTGTAAATATTTTCGTAACACGAAATTCCATATCGCAAAACCATTTTTCCCATATACTGTACTGTACTTCCATTATAAAAGTTGAGACGCATTCCTAAGGACAGTTTTTGAGGCCCAAAAATGTGACACAAGCACATATATGTATAATATAACAGGTGTAGATGGTTTTAACCACATACAATGAGTCATTTGTGATGTAACATGATAATAAATGAACAAAACACTGAAATTTTACTTATCAGAAATAATGTTGAGTGCTGCAGGTGGTGGTGAGGTGAGGTTGTGGGATCATAATTACTGGGAGTTACCTCCTTAAAACATCAAGTTTAATGTCCAATGCAATTCCTTTATGTATGGAATCTTTTATCACCACTGCTTTCACTTGAACTTGATGGTCTTTTTCCACTCATCTTGATTAAGGGTACACACTAACACAGATGCATAACTGAACATAAACTGAGGAAAGAATTAAAACTGAGCAGCACCATTTCTGTTGTGGCTGCTATCAGCTGGTGAGGTGAGCCGCCCGGCAACCATCTTGTAGCTACCACGAGAATCCACACAAAATAAATTTTATAAATTCAGTGAAATTTTTTCTTCTATATTGCAGTTTTTTTCTTTTTAAAATCTTAGTAAATTAACCAAAATTCTGCAAGGGCAAATAAAGCCATAAACATGTACGCATAACTGAGCACAAGCTGGGGAAAGAATTCTAACCGAGCAGCTTCATTGTTGTGGTGAATGCTTGCAATTGGGGAGGTGACAGTGGGATGCCAAAGTGGGGCACAGACCCAGTGTGGGGGGGGCATATAAAATTTTAAATGAATGCATCTTCCTATTGAAATAATTCATACATCAATTTCAAAACTCATGACATCATCTATTTCCATGTTTGAACTCAAGGCCAGGATGATATATTAAGAAAATGAGCATACAACACTAATTCCACTTTCAAAGTGTCTTATATAACTGTAAAGTAATATTACTAGAATAGTACTAACTTAAACCTGTTGAAGAATTAAGATAACGCAAAATGCATGTACAGTACTGTTCAGTTTTCCACCTATCATATTTTCAGGGAATAAAAATGCATTTTAGCATACAAATGAGCCTATTCTCAACCAGAAATGTCCAAACGAGGTTACACCAAAGTAACCTAATAATCATCTAAGAGTAATAAGGATACATGGTAAGGTAATAATCCACTTACCTCCATTTATTGAATATAATATAAATAAAATATAAATTAAATTTCATAAATATAATGAACATTGTTCAAAATCACACTGTAATACATGAGCACAAAAAAGAACATAAAATCCACATAAAGTTCAAAGCCACAACCCTTATATTGCAAAGCTATATACACCTTTAGAACAGCTGAATTCGCCTGTTCTCGTGCTGGATAGCGAACATTTTAATAAACTCGTCCATGACTTAGCTCTTCTAGTCTCAATGGTGAGAACACCCAGGTTACTCAGTCTGCTGTCTGCCATAGTTGTGCACAAATGGCTTTTTGTGAGTTAAGAGCTGAGAAGCTGCACTCACAGCAGCGCTGCTTATTGGGAAGGCCAAGGCAATCCTGCACAGTTCATTAAAGACCTCTTTGTAGGGCTCAAAGAACACCGTTAGCTCTAATACACTGGACAGCTTCTGCATTCCACTTTGAGCTTTCCTTTCCAAAATCCCCTTTGCTTGGTGCAGCTCATGGCTGAGATCTTCAACATCACACTCATAGATCTCTGCTAAGCAAAATACAGCTTCCTACTTCCAAGAAACTCTTGCTCTTTGGGTCTTATCACCGTACACATCTCACCACTTCTGAGTTGGGGGGCAAATGGGGTGGCCTATCAGATTTCAGGGGGGCCGTGGCAACCCCAGGCCACACCCTGAACACGCCACTGGGAGGTGAGAGGCTTTCCAACTGCCTTGTGGCCACCATAGAAGGATTTACACAATATTTTTTACTATTTTTGTAAAAATTTAGATTAAAAATCTTTTTTTTAATAGTGAAAATGAAAAAAATTCTGTAAGGGCAAATTTTTTCTGCAACCACAAAATTAAGGTCTAAATTTGTAAATTCCATTACCAGAAATTCTGTATCCCAGGGGATGCCTGTACTGAAACTAAATCTAACTTAATAAACACTGAACCCACACCCATCTTATTAAATGTTGAAACCATACTCAGTCTGTTGAATGCTAAATCCAAAGACATCTTAATAAATACAGTACTACATTCATCCAATTTTACCGAGTGCCTATCCAACATAATCTCTTAACTACAAAAATCCAGAAAAATCCAGAACACTGTGGTATGTCTATTTACATAATGTCTTTCCAACAATATAAAGCAAGGGTATCATAACACAACCATAATTAAAAAACAGAGCTTAGATGAAAAAATCCTCTGCTCCAAAGACATACTTAACACATTAAATTAGCTTAAGTGACAAAGTTGGAATTGTGAGCCAATAAGTGCTACAACATGTTATTTCACTAGAAATGAATCATGCATTTTCAAGTAATCGAATTTCCCATTCTGCATTACTTACAACTAAGTAGATCCCTTTTAAGTAGGTATGGTTAGGGTATTTAATAAGCAATCTAATTAATAGCTGTAATACCCACAGATTAGAGTCAAGAAATATTTCTCTCTTCAGGGATCCAATAAGATACAATGAAAAAAGAGTGACTGTTCCCTTTTAGGGTCCAACAGAAGAGAAATATTTTCCTCAAGCAACTGTTAACTAAAAACTCAGGTTGCATAGGGAGTCAATGTTGTCTTCAGCCCTGTTAGTATATCACAGGTGACAGGTCAAATGAGGTTACTGATGTGTCAATGTTGGTGGGTAGCATCCTATATGAGACCCTCCTGGACAGTCCAAGTTGGAGGGAGAGATTTAAGATAACCCGGTGAATCCCTCCTGTTGTTGCTCAGTTAGGAGTACTAAGTGGTCTTGTCATAGACAATAAAAAGACATGTCATTACAGAGAGGACCATTTAAAAGAACTAGTAGATGAAAAGACTTGAGAATGAAAGGGTGAGTGGCATACTCATTGACCATGATAAACATAACAAGAACTTCATTTCAAATGTACATTAGCATCTTTAGATATATGCCCATTAGACAGTTGCAACAGCTGAAACAAAGTGACCCTTCTCAGCTATTATAAGGCTGAACACGCGTACAGTCCCCTTCACTAGTTCATTTACAGGGGCTCGTCAGGTTTTGTGCAGCATGGCAGCCCTGTGTTTGTTTACATTTGACAGAAGGAAATTGGCAATAGTAAACATACCATGGAATCAAAATAAAACAATATAAAAACAAATATTTCAAAGATAATGACTTGTGAAATGTTTATATGACAAGCCCCTGTAAATGCACTAGTCAAAGGGAACTGCCTGATAAGATTAGCACTGATGCACTGGTCATCATCATCTCTCCCTGAATTATTCACAGATTGATTGATTTACGGATTTTAGGCTCAAAGTCAAGCACTGGAGCCAATGGGCTAAATAATTCGCAGGATAAATTTTATCTACTGTACTTGAATACAAAAAGCTCTCGACTGTGAAGTCAGTAAAAACTGAAAACTCTGCATGCTTTACAGTGTGAGCAGGAAAGTTGAAAAAAGGTTCTTGTTTAGTTGTGCCCTGTATAATTTTAAAATCTCTCTATTATATATCTTCACTAACATATCCCCTATTCTTCCAAAATGTACAGTAATCCCTGGATATGGCAAGCCAATAACTAACACATTTTTATATAACATAGGAAATAAATTGCACTACAGGTACTTCCTAAAGCTAATGCATTCTGTAGTACATTATTAAAACATCAAGGCCAGTTCAGTACATGTCTGTGATTGGCCTTCCCTGAAACCTCAGAATGAACATAGGCAGCAGCCTTGAACAAAATCTGCTAGGTCTGAAAGAATAAATATGGAAATTGCCTTCTATGTACAGTAGCATTTCCTGCACCTCATTCATTTCCTCAACAAGTGCTCACTTAGAAAATTTATATCTCTCTATGAAAATGCTCACTATTTAGGCATTAATGTTTACAAGCTACACACACTCCATTATTTTGCATGTCCCTACTGTAATCCACCTTATGAGATTCCTACATAATAGCTGAATACCTTAAAACCTTTCTGTCGTGATTAACATCAAATGGTGATTATATAAGTTCTAGGTAAATGTCATGTATAGAAATATGTTTAATCTTTTGTTTAATTATTATAATAATTAATTTATCACAATCTTAAATACAGAATTATATCACACTAGTGATCCTACACTGAGGGTCATTCTAGTAACCCACTGGTCATCACCACAGTCCCTGATTTTACTATCACATACTGTACCTCAAACGATCTATCACAGATCTCTTTTTCTACATATATCATAAAAGTAACTACTTTATACAATAACAGTTCTACAACAATCTCTGCAACTGAACTGTCATAACAAAAGAAGTAGCTGTAACTAAGGCTTAATTCATATTTAAGATCACAAATAATATATAAAAACAAAGGAAAAACATCACAAAACAGAATAGCCAAAAGCATTCATAGATACAATTAGCATAAAGAAATTATAAAAGAATGTTACTGATAAGCACATGCCTCTTTACCATGCCCCTACTACAGTAGTTACACTTTTTCACATACAGTACCTTCATAGATCTTTCTTCTACAGGATGGAAGAAACTAATTCTTAAGTTTGATCATTTGAATCTTATAACAGAATTGTATTTACCTGAGGATTCTGAAGTGCACAGCTAAGGGATCATGATGTATCAAGATTGAGGCACTAAATGGGTTAAGTAAGAAGGGTTATATGTAAAATATAACTAAAAAATTGTGTCTAGAGGGCATAGTTTCCTTGTTTTGCACATTGATCCCAAAGTTTAACCATTCAAAATCATCTAAATGTAACTGTTAACCAAAACTTATGAACAATGAAAAACAACCAAAATGTAGGTCACAATGACTTTTGATGCAATCTGTAGTAGACATCCATCTGAAGTTTCATGAGAAAAGTGTTTGAGAAAAATCAATGGATGAACGAACACTGACCCACACTCAAAGTGGAATATTAAAACAGAGGCCTCTAACTGCTAGTATGGAATTACAAGCTTACCAATGGCATGGACAAAAGATATCTGAGGCTAAAGCCTTTAGTCAATAAGTGAGATGCTGGCTGGGGAGAGAGGTTAACAATCTGTGACTTGTGATAAAGGCATAGGGACACAATACTGTATCTTTATTATTACACAAGTATCTCATACTGTGGAGATGATCTACTGTAGTTTGATACCAAGTATGGGTTAACTTACCTTCTCTGTGATGGTGTGGCTGTATTCTGTAGCTTTCTCTGTGGCTATGCTGCTGTACTCCATCGCCTTCCCTGCAATTTTAGTGGCACCCAGAGAAAGCATTGACCAACCCTGAAATGTAAAGAACATTCACTATGAATTTCATCTGGATAATTTTACAAGTTATACTTACAAAAATTTACAACACAAATCTAACATACAGTATACGTAGATACTGTATAATGACTCTCTCATCTGCTGCAATTGTATTACTGCACTTTCTCTTGATCAGATTTCTTGTTAGTAAAATATATTTATTTATAGTAGTACCTCGATACACCGGATTAATTGAGGCAGACCCCAGTCCGGAAAAAGTGAATTGATGGTTGGGGGAGGGGGACTGAACATAACCATAGCCGATTTCAAGAAAATCAGACATAAGAATGTTTGTCGAAAACTTTGTTCAGTGATACAGTGATACGACTGTTTCGTATTGCAAAGTGTTATACATTATTGATAGTACAGTACTGATATGTGAAACAGTTTATTTAGCCAGAAAGATACAGTCATTAATAATAACAATATTGACATGGCTGAGCTAATTGAGAGCCTGTGTTCTCTTGATGGCACCTGATATACTTATCTTAATTAAGTACCCTGTATGTATGAAACCACAGAATTTGTCTTTTTAATAAGGAGAAACTAAATATTGTACAGGACTATAGATGAAAATAAGAAAATATATGAGCAGGGGTGTATTGTATGTGGGAGATGAGAGTGTATCTTGGAGCAGCAGGCGGGAGATAGTGTGGGTTGACAACTCCTCCCTCCATCCCCAAGGACACCTTAACACATCTTTATGCAATTTCACCACAATTCCCATATTATTTAAGTTCATTTGGTGCCAGGTGATAAAATATTATCATAAAATTATAAACTTTCCCCTAAAAAGAATTGCTCAACACCAGATAGCCAGTGCATCATATTAAATTACTGTACTGGTGCTTGTTAACTAAATGCTAACAGCTGATCTTCTCACCATGTTGCCAGCCTCCCATCTCACATGCTTACCACAACACCTGTCTTCAACAGTTGGTAAATAATATTGGAATAGATTTATCAGCACTTAACCCATTGTCACCGCTGTTTTAAAATGCAGCTGTATTTACGTATTTCCCGTGCTCACTGGTGACATTTTTACAGTCTAAATAAGTGAAAATGGGACTAGTGGCAATTGTACCAGGTGCCTGAGGGGGTTGGGGAGGGGGTGGAGGGTGTGAGGGACAGAGCTCCCATATTTATCTCCCCCTTGTTCACTGTCTCCTTGACACAGACTGTAAAACAAATAATAGTGTGTCTGCATATTAAAGAAGGTGATGGTACAGTATCCAAGCTATCTAGAAACAGGTTCTATGGGAAAATAGGATTTCCAAAGAAATTCTTTATTTCTTGCAAGAAATCCTCCATTAAGAAATTTTCATCACTGAAAGCCAACTAGAAAGTGGGAGGAGGAGGTACTACAAATGATTCTTTAACTCAGCAAACATCTACCCTACGAGAGTTAACCCAACTACACAAGAATGAAAAGGGTGACCCTACTACTCTACCTTATCACAAAGTTCTTCAGTGTTATCTTGCAAACTCCACTAAAATTATAATATAATGCATCTTTCTCCTTTCAAGTCATCTTGAAAAAAATCATTGGATTTGATGCATTATTGTATATAAATATTGTAAGTGACACTTACTGAAGTTAAAGAAGTTACAGCAGTGTCAAAAATCTCTGTAGAGGCACTCTTTGGGGGCGGGTTGGGGCAATTGCCAAAACCAGAATACCGACCTCCTTGAGATGGTGGAAGGTGTCTGTGAAGGAGAGGAAATTAATTCAAATTAGATTACTAACATCCTTAATTTTCAACATAATGAAATTAAATTTGAACTGAACATCTAACACAAAACTAAAACAAAAAATACAGATAAGAAATACTAGATTTGTCAGTTCATGGAACAAGATGTAAACAATTTATTTAATGTCTACAATGAACTTTTACTCATACTAAATATATAATACGTACACAATGTTGACCAATATCTAGTACACTACTTATTGGTAACTACATTAATGCAATTTTCAATGCAGTAAAATAACGATGCCTACTATCTCTATATACTCTTCTGCAGGGGATAATTACAGCTTTGTATCACCATTTGGTGAATAATGATGGAAACTAATAGACAATCCTTCATGATTTAAGTTTTGTGGTGTTGGAAGAACCTTCTAAAACATACTGTTTACCAAATCATATATCTCTGCAAATATCTTTCTCTTTGAAGACATTAACAATCAGAGAATAAAACCTTAACACCTTAACATTAATGTAATTAAAAAGGAAACTTACTCTGGTCGGGAAGCATTTTCATCTTGCATTTTCGCAAAGAATGCCTCTGTCTGGCTCTTTAAGCTAGGGTCTTGGTAGCCACCCTGATAACTTCCTTGATAATCTTGATAACCACCACCGCTGAAGTTATCATAATTATTGCCAGTGGAAGAATACACATTTTGCCCTAGAAGAGAAAAGATGGAAAAGTAGCTAATATCTCTCGGATGATGAAGATAGCAAATTTATGTCACTTGTGACATTTTATAAGCAAAAAACATAATCTCAAGCTAAAGGACATAAATAAACAAATAAATACTTCACTAGACCTTCGGTGCCAACTGTCAAACACGTCACTGTCACTTCCCTTCCTCCCTCCCTCCCTCCCTCTCCCCCATTTTCCCAGCCAGGGTTTGGTGTTTTAGGCTTAAAGTTTTTATCTTATATTATGTCACAGACTAAAGTTAGAAGAATATAATTTGTATTGCTGGAATCTTTGCAAGACAGCAAATAATTTGAATAAAAATGCCATATTTTTGCACGAGATAAATTTTTTTGCTCTTTGTACTAAAATTCTTAAATTAGAACTAAAATGTGTATGTCTAATGCGAGCTATAGCATGTTTATATTCAAATTAATCACTATCTTATAAGAATTCCAGCAATGTTAATTATATTCTTCCATGTCAGTTCAGTGACATTTTATAAGAGAAAAACGTAAAGTCACTCTAAGGACAGATAAATAAATAAGCACAAGACCTTGGCATCAACTATCAAACATATCACCTCACCTCCCTCCCTCCCCCCGTCTTCCCAGCCAGTAAACAGACCATTTCACATCCCTTAATTTTAGCTGTGTTGATTTATGAGTGTTTGTTTTAACATAATACCTGTACCACAAAAAACAATGTTTTGTTTATTCTAGGAGATGGGCTGAGGTGTATCTGGGTAGATTCTCAATCTTTTTAGTACTTTGTGTTTCTCTCAAGTACCAAACTAAATTATTCCATTGAAATAACACTTCTATTTAGTGCGAATTCGGTTTAAAGTGACCTCTCTTGGAACATATCTCGTGTTATATCAACGTTATACTGTATACAGTAAATACTGTACAGTCCCGTAATTTATAATACAGATTGTGGATGGTGGCCTTGAACTGCTGTTTGTTATAAGTGATATCCCCATTAGCCGGAATAATTGGTGCAGAATTCTTCCCGGGATGAGAGATTTCCGGGTAACGAGAAACTCTCTCAAACCCGGAAAAATCACACATCCCGAGAATTTTTCTGGGTACATACTGGGAAAAGTTTCTCAGAATTTTCATCTTCGGAATTTCAAGTCTCCAAAATTTTCTCTGAATCTTCCAGAATTACACATCAAATCATCCTTGGAATTTGCTCCCAGACCAGGAAAAAAAATCGGACAGATTTTCCGTAATTTCCTCAGAACATGCGCCTGATTTACAACCTTGGAAACTCATGCACAGACCCGAAATTGATAGAATCTTTCCAGAAAAATTCTGAGCCAATTTCAATTTCAGGTACAGTATTGGAAAGTTCCAGCTAATGGGGATTTTGGTTAACAGAGATTTTACTACAGTACAGTAGAGTAAAACTAGATGTAATAGTTGAAAGCAAACTGGTGAAAAAAGTAGAATAAAAATTTTTCTGAGTTTTTCATATACAATTTATTTTAAGCATCCCAAAGTTTAAGAAAATTTGTATTCATATCAAAGTTAAAGCATAAACACTGGGCAAGCTAATCAAATTAAAGATCTACAGTACGGTACACAAGATGATAGGCAAAAAATCACATAAGAGCTACATATCACTTTAACAAATTAACAGTTACCGGTAAATGTGTACTGTATAAGGACAGCTAAAATCTTAAACTGCAATTGGAGATTAAAGGTAGAAATTACACATGCATTTTTTTTACTCTTGCAAGTACAGTACTGGTCTACCAAGTTGCAAGGTGACTGGAAGCAAGAGTGACATTGATTCTCCATTCATTGTCATTTGTTCTCTTTAATGTCTGGAACAAATGTGTTCTGCTATAATATTCAACTTCCAGAACACATATTGTACAGTACAGTACTGCAATTGTGTGCAGCATAATACTGTATTTCATAAAAAAAAAAATCGTAAATCAAATAGATCAAACAATGAAATAATTTGAAAACAAAGAGTATGTCTCATTGTAATTAACATCAGTGTTAAGGAACCACTACAAATGTTCTGTATGCAGTACAGGCATCCCTCGCTGTACGAATGGGTAAATTCCTTGAAAATTATTCTTGAAGTGAATATTCGTATATTGAATAGTATAACATATGGTAAAAATAGGGTTCGGTTCTCCAATGACAAGAAAATCCCCATATCACACCTAAAAAAATTTAATCAATTCACATACAACAAACTACAACCTAACTACTGTAAATTAGTACCTAACTATGGTAATTTAGTGCCTAACTACTGAAATTTAGTGCCTAACTACTGTAATCGTTCCTAATTACTGTACTTTAGTGCCTAACTACTGTAATTTAGTACTGTACCTAGGTACTGTTATTTAGTACCTAAGTGCTGTAATTTAATACCTAACAATTGTAATTTAGAGCCTATCACATTAAAAAAATAACAAAATATAAATTTGGTACATTACCTAAAGGGACCATGTTCGTATAAGTGAGAAAAGCCTTTGTATAAGGAATTCCTGTACTGTAAAACAAATACTATATACTGTAGTAGGTCTCATTTAAAAAGTGAATCTTGTGCCTTGCCCTCACACCACTCTTATACAGTACTGTAAAACTAAGGAAAATTTTAATTTTCCTTCCTCTACATCACTTCCTTGCTGGCTGTATCAGAACACATGCATTGAATATCATCTTTCCTTATCATCTGATTCGACGAGTAAGTTTTGTACATAAAATAGTATACAATACAGTACACTACTACATCTACATTCCAGGTACTGTACTGTTTATCAATTCTACAAATTGAACACTTCAGTAAGGTCTCAAACCAGTTAAATATTGACAAAAAAGCCTACCTGGTGATTTGAAGGCAGGTGCTGAGGTACACTTAGGAATTGATGTTGATCGGTGATTCCGTGCAGATGAACTCTCTATGCTCCAGGATTTGCCCTGTGACAATGCTGTTACCTGTGGTGGGTATGCACTTTAGAATCAGTCACCACTAGTAAATAATAAAAAATAAAAATAAATAAATGGATAAAAGTACTGTACATCATTATTAACAACTTTAATATAATTCCTGTAGAGACACTGATAAATACAGTAGTAAATAAAAAATCATAAACTAACATGTTATGTTTGGTATTGAAGAAGCCTAGCAGTGGGACAATTTTGTATTTATTTTTTAACTCTTTCAGTTTTACTTTTTTAGTAATGCTATTGTTGGCAAATAAGGCTACTAATTTCTAATGTAAAAGTATTAAAATGCATTATTATACCATCACAAGCTGTCAAGATATGAAACAACGATTAATCAACTTTTCAAGATAGTACTGTATAAGAAGGATCCATCTAACCAACACATTTACAACCTGGCAAAAGCTTTATGTTCACAACTAATCTGATCGAGAGAGATATAAAAATATTAGCCTCCAAGCATGTAACAGGTACTGCACAATGAGTTATATTTGTACTGTATTAGCTTACACATACACACACAAAACTGTTCATATATTTCCTTCCTAAAGAGCAATACAACATAGTTAACACTTTCACTTCATGTGTGTGTTATCTACATACCTGTACCATCAAAAATTAAATCAAAGTACTGTACTGTAATCACTTAAGAGGGATGATAAATAATGAAATATTGTTTTTCTTTAAATCACACTAAGTTTCTTTCAAGATTATCAAAATGCACAAATTAGGTACAGTATTAAAATTACCTCACAAATTATAGGGTCAAAAACAAAACAAATACACAATTGCTGTTTAGCAATACTGTACTGAAATAATAATAATTGCATACTAAGCAAATCTTACACCACCTCACACTTGTACAGTACAGGTACTTAGTGATGTACCCAGAAATTTGCCAGGGGGCAAACTTTGAACGAAACATATTGAGGCATTGTTGAAATACGAGATAATTAATATTTTTCTATATGTTCACGATGACCTAACTGTTCAATTAGTGATGCTATTATTTGTATTTATTTTGTTATCGTTATTACAGTATTTTTTCTTTTCTTCTTGTTAAATATGGTTTATTTGGAATAATTTATTAGCCCAATGGGGGATCACCCCTGCCGTCTTCCCCTTCGGTACGCCAATAACTGTACCACTGTATAGTATAGTAGAGCACAGGAGAGTACAGTACTGTATTTATGTAGATACAGGTAAAGGTTGCAGAAGCACCTTGAATAGCAACATACCAATTTCAGTTTCCATAAAACTACCCTTTGAATAATCTTCCTTCAATAAATGCCTAAATAAACATTCAAATACATACCATAGAAATTATCAAAATAAAAAATCAATTAACAAATTGAAATTATAAAAGAATACAGTATCATACAGTAGTAAATACTAATTTTGTGTAAATGAAGTTACCTAAAACTACAGTGAAGATAAGCAGAGTAAGCAGAACTGTACAGTAATGATGATTTAATATACGGTATGCGATATGGAATTACAGTACAGTAAAATATTTTTTTATAATAGGAATTAAAAAAAAGTAATTTAATATACCGTACTGCCACCCTTGCCCAAGGGCCAAGAAGCATGTACAGGACACATTCACGGATACAGTATGTAAAATAGCGCAAACGCAAGAGAAATATTTAGATAAGTATGGTAAATATGTACATACTGTACAGTACTGTACTGTAGTGGGTAGAAGCAAGGATGTTGTTGGTGAGCAGGGTATGTGCGAGAAATTACCATGGTAACATGGTTGTTGATAGTGAGGAAATTAAGGAGAAAATAATACGACTGATTACTGCATAAGCAGTACGAATGACAGGATCAGCCTAAGGGTAATAAAACAAGTGCAGGGCCGATGGAAAGGTGGGTGAAAGTTCAGGAATACAGTAGTTGCAGAAATGCTGAAAGCATCAAGCATGTAGGTGCATCAATGGTGACCAAACTGACTAATGCAATCATGACTGAATGTACTGTATTGTTTAAAAGTGTAACCGTAAATACTTGTAAGGGTATAGGTGATATATTTGAACATGGGAACTTCAGAGGCATGTAGCTGTTAGATCAGGTAATGAAAGTTTTGGAAACAATTATCAAAAAATTTATATGGTAGAGAGTGGATATAAATGAAAATGCACTTTGATGTCAGGTAGGGGGACTACAAAGGCAACATTTAAGGCAAGGCAACTACAAGATAAATATCTAGAGAAAGAAATTTATACTTTATGTTTGTAGACTGAGAGAAAGCATTTGACAGGATACCATGTAAAGTAGCAAAGTGAGCAATGAGAAAGCTAGGGGTTGAGGAGTGCCTTGTTTGAGTGGTGATAGTCTTATATGAGGGCTCAAAAACCTATTAGAGTAAAATTTTGGAAAATGTGTCTCGACTTAGTCTACCCTGGGAATTGGTGTATGTGGATCACTGATAGCGGATAGTACAGTACGTAATGGAGACAGGAGAAATCTAAGAAATAGATGTATGGAATCTGTAGTCAAAAGACTGAGAGTGAATGTGGTAAAAATTAAAGTATTGTTTAGTAGCATAGGTGAAGGACCTATAGTGGAAAGAGGAAAAATCGCCAAGTGCTGTCTGTAAAAAAGGTGTTGGCAGCAACTCAATTATATGCAATGAATGGAGAAGTGGGTACATAAGAGGTGGCATGAGTAGATGGAAGATTGCAGGATGTTCAGCATAGTAATGAAGAGGCTGCCAGGGCTAAAAAAAAAAAATCTATACAAGAAGACTACCCTAGCCTTCCTCTTTCAAATGATTTTAGTTCCATATGGCAGATTCATCAGTAGCCTCATTTTGGAAGTGGTGATGGACCATGCACTTAAGAGGAGAAATTGCAGATTCTGCCAGTGCAGTAATTAGGATCCCACCAGCACCCACAGCCAACGAGTGTTTCACTAGACTGTCACATGACTGACTGAGCCACTGGGCATCCAGCCCAGGCCAGTATATTCCTGCACCTCTATGGATGCCTTATTTTTTCTCTATTTAGCATTATTCATAGGAAATTATTAAGTTTTCCTATGCTCGATGGGCTCATCAGAGTAAAGCACAACCTGATGTCAGGCTACCCACAGAAGAGAGCCAGGAAGTGTATTATATTGTGTTATGAAATTTCATTATCATTTTTTCTTCCTAATTACAATGTACAAAAAATCTGTTTAATGAGACAAAAAACTGTACATCAAAATCTATCAATTAGTAATGTTATGAAATACATTTTGCGATTTCAAACTCGAGCACTCATTTTCTCACAACGTAGTTTTGGCACGTTCACCGGTCATACAGTACTACTCCAAACACCCAAGATGAAAGGGCCATGAGAAGACCCCTTCAATAAAATAGTTCCTTATATAAACACTAGTAACTCACCTTATCTCTATAGAGAGCAGCTGCTCTTGTGTTGTACTTCTGTTGCATTGGTGCATGGTGGTCGTAATCACTCTGACTCATCAAGAATTCTTTGGCTCTTTTATTTCCACCAATCTGCAAATTAATTAACTGATTACAGTAGTCATAATATATAACAAGGCAAAATATATTGTATTGAAAATATGAGAATAGTCTGTAGAAATGTTCAATGTTAGGGTTGTATCACATAGAATAACCAGCTGGATAATTTTTACAGTTTCTATCTAGCCAGATAAACAGAAAGTCAATTTTTTCAACTATACAGTTTCTCCTCGACTTACGATGGGGTTCCGTCCCGACGACCAGGTCGTAAGTCGATTGGTCGTAAGTCGAAATGGCGAAAATAATACAGTACATAGAAATTCTAAAATAGGTGTCTCTTTTTCTTCTCAACACCACGAGAACTCTCACTTTTATGCTTACAAGCCATTTTAAAGGGAATTACAAACGAAAATTTTTTCAGTACACAGAGCGATCACTAACATCGGCACTCGAAAATACCTAATTTGAAAAATATTATATATGACTGCAACTGCCGTATATATATAACATATTATCAGCTTTGTACGGACCATCACTAAGGTTTATTGAATTCATTTCCCTAATCAGACTTGCTTCAAAAAGAAGTCTTTCTGTGACACATGTTGATTTAAACACTTCTATACTGTTTTCCCAATCCATGGGATGAATATTTTCCTTATATGAACGAAAAGTGCACTGGTTTCAGATGCTGTTCTAATATTATACTTGTGCTGTTTTATTCTAAGTTACAATACTTTTCCAGTCTGACCTACATAATTTCCATTACAATTGCTATAGGGAATACTGTACAATAAACACTTCCATTTACATTCAAGGTTGGGCTGTTCTTAATTAACATACTAGTAATAGTTGAGTCATACTTAAAAATAACATACAAGTTTAGTAATCTAAAGGATTGAACTAAAGGGACAAATTCATTGCGATAAGATAGAGTCAAATGTAGGAACTTGTCTAGTAGGAGTACAATAGAAGGATTTTTTTAGCCCTTTTTAGACAACGATCAACAAACAATGAAGGGTAGCCAAGCTTTTCCGGAATGAACTAAATGTGTTGCAGTTCTTCTTCAATAAATTCAGGGTCACAAATACCGGTATGCAAACATCTCAAAAACATAGCAAAAAAAACAAAAAAATACATAAATAAATAAAACTGACATTTTGGTAGACTCAAGGTGACTCGATAAAAAAGTGTGAAACTGTTTACCGCGGTGTAGGCTTTCTGTACACCTTAAATTTATAGTTGTGACCATTTCTTACCAAAAGCATGTTCAAATGGTGATTTTGTCGCTGTGGTGGTTGTTTTGTCAACATAATTTTGGTTACCCTTTCATATATTGTGATTTCTGATAAATACAGTAATTACCAGTACAGCACACCCTTGCCATTCACGAGGGATAGGTTCCAAGAAATGGCGTGAATTGGCAAAACCGCAAATAGCAACTTATACTACCTTAGTGCACAACTGTATACCTATACCAAACAACTGACCAGCTGCAGCAGCACTCATCCCTTCTTTTAACTTATCTAATAACAAAACTTTCTTTGTCAGGTCATCACTGACTTCTGCCTTTTACATTTCACTCCACTAGCATCACTAGCACTGACACTAGGCAGTCTTTTAGGGGCCACTTCACACAGAAACACTGAAGTTTTGAGAGTACAACACGAGATGCTGTGTGGGGTGAATCGTTGGGCTGCGGGAAAAGGCTTGCAAGCTAGCCACCATAGCCACATCTGCTTACTGCTAATCGTCGAAATCGCTAATCGCAAACTCGCGAATGGCAAGGGTCTACTGTAGTACAGAAGGAGTTTTTGTTATACTGTACACTATACTGTAGATAAATCAGTAGGGAATTAACTATATTTCAGGTATAGTAAATAAGTACAGTACAATATAATGATTACTGTATACTAAGAGTGTAAGACGACTTGTATATAGTCTTATGGTAACACTGAAATCCTACTGCAAAAGATACACCACAGAAAAACTAGAGCACACTATATTTTGGCTGTAACCTGTAGGTAGCAAGCAACTATCAAACAGATTTTCTGCCTCATTTACACATAATTGCAGGGTCTCAATTGTTTCTATTACTTTGACAACAACATACAGGTATACAGTATCTTTTCTCACCCATTATCTTTTTTCCTTTTTTTTATTTAGGGTTCTTTTTTTATTATTACAGTTGGCCCTTAACATACGCGGGTGTCAGGTAACAGAGATACCCGTGAATGTTAAAAATCTGTGTTCTTTTGCCCCCCTAAAAAACCCCTGGCCCCCCATGTCCTTATTTACCGTATATACTTGTATGTAGTTCGAGTTTTTAAGACCAAATTATTTGGCAAAAAATTGGGGGTCGACCTCTAAACGGGTAAAAGTTTCGTTAGGTTGAAAAATATTTACCAGTAACTACCAGTAAACAATGGAAACGACGCACCAACGCACCACCAGCTGTGAGTGTCGGTACAGTTACCAGGGCAGATCTCTTGCGTCATCATAGCAAGCCCAAAGTAGCCAAATGCATGGTATGGTATGGTATGCACAGGACGATGTAAAACAAAGTTCGTTAACCGAAACCATTGTTTCAATGGGTTTTTGGGTAATTATCCAGAAAATCCAGTATCAAGTATAATTCACTATCTGGTATATACCTACTCAATGCTATACATGATCACAGTAATACAGTAAATTAATTAAAATTCAAGAATCTAAAATGTGTGTTAGGTATACAGTACAGTATACAGTACCATATTAGAATAAATCAATAATGTGCAAACCAATTTCATTATTGTCACTTACCTTCATTTTCTCTAGTTCATTGTCCTTCCACTTATCCATCGTGATTGAACGTACAAAAGATAAGTGTACTCCCAATCCACGGTGTTTCCCTGAGCACTCGAGGCATATCCAGATGCCATAGGACACTGAGGCCCACTGGGGATTGTGGGCACCACACTCAAAGCATTGCTGTTACACAAAATAACAAAAAGCTTTAGAAATAAAATACACTACAGGTACACCCATACATTATGTAAAATAAGACCATATTTCTTACGTTTTTAAATAGTTAATTAATTTCTTGGCCTGCAAAGCACATAGAGACATCATCTTAGTGTCATTTAAGTTTTTCACCATGTTTTACCCAGCAATTTCCCCCATCCTTCATACCCTGCCCACTACAGGTGATTTATGATCATATATATATATATATATATATATATATATATATATATATATATATATATATATATATATATATATATATATATATATATATATATATATATATATATATATAATCAACGACCTCACCAGCAAGGAATCGAACCCTCGACCTACTGGGTGGGACTAGGGAACGCTTACCGGCTAACCCACAAGGACACTAAAAGCAGTCCTAGACTCTGTTATATTTCACACAAAGCCTGTTCATCGAGCTGATGGCGCCGTGAACCTCATAGGGAAACTGCCCGTGCCTCGTATGTGGTGTCAGTAGCATTTTACCGAATCCAGCTGGTTAGCTGGTAAGCGTTCCCTAGTCCCACCCAGTAGGTCGAGGGTTCGAGTCCTTGCTGGTGAGGTCGTTGATTATAACTCCTTCTAGTGGTAGCGGTTTCCTCATAAATTACTGAAAAGTGCCTTAGAATTATCTAAACTATTGATTGCAATCATAAATTTCTTCAAATTCTCTATGTGCCCACAGGAGAAATTTTACCCAATTAATATCCGCTTTAACTAGTCCTTTGCCTACCATATACCAGAACTTGTACACAAACTCATTCAATTCACATATAGAGAATCTTAAATCTAAGTTTCTATCAGAAGCTTGACCTTGGTCAAATGATAATTTGCAGCCTTGACCTCAAGGCTGTAACCCACTTCTAACACACAAATAATTTGATTTCCAATCAAAATTTCCACTTTACTTCGTCAAACCATCGTTACTTACACTGTTTTCATCTTTGGGTTTAATTTCCGCAAGTACTCGTCGTGTTCTTGGGCTGGCCATCGTAACAGATGCCGTCTACCTACGGACGATCACAAACCGCCAACTCAGATTGTTTACTGTCAGTGTGTCAGCTGGAGCTCTCAGCTTCTCACATTACACATTATGCAACACGTCTTTAATATTTACAAAAAATATTTGAGCTTCAGGTCACGTTTACAAATAATATTAATGAATATAAGTTCATATTATATCACAGATAACTAAAAAATAAATATAATAAATGAGAAATATTTACCCTGTAAAATAGGTTTTGATTTCTTTATTTACGTCATTCACCTCTCACGGGCAGTGCAGTATTTCCAAAGACTATACGAAAGATAGGAAAGCGACTATCCCTACTGTTAGAAAGGATGTGCAGTCTGAATCTATGACAGCGCTATCTATTGAGCTGGCGCTTCACTGTACGGAGAATCATTTAACGATTGCTAACGTGTATTTTTTTCTGTATGGAATATGCTTAAGATATGTTAATATAACCAATTTTATATTTTCTCCATATAATACACATAAAATGTATAAATAATTCGTTCACCTTGCTATGTTATAATAAGTTACTGGAAGAATTGTTACTCCCTTTAATTTTTATTCATATTTGGAACATATTTAGGGATATTTTGTGTGAATCATATAAATATCCGATTGCATGTACTCATTTAAGTCAACTGCCAACCCATGTTCTATGATTCAGAATATAAAATATTACATTGTTTTTTAGGATCATAAGTAACAGTCAGTATTGTGTGTGATAAGGCAAGCATGAAGTTAGCATGCTTCCCTGTTGGGCACTGTAAACGCTTCTGCGCTTCACCTTACACAAGGATGTAGGGGGGAGCCCCCCCCCTACCCCCCAAAAAAGTCGGTATTGTGGGGGAGAAGGATATACATAAAGAGTTTTATGATTTATTTTTCACAAAATATATATAAATGTGGATCATAAAATTAAGTCTATAGCTGTTAATGAATATGATGTATTTCTTTGTGTATGAACCTCTGTCCTGCCTGGCAGTGAGAAGTGATACTGTAGTGGATTTCTCCCCTACAAACGCTGTTTGTCGCTCAGTAACTGACCCCACCAATTCCCCAGTGTACGCCTCGTGGTCTAGGTCAACCAGCGCCGCCATACATCACGGAGCGGGGGTCAACTACTAAGCCACGCCTACCCCCGGTATTTAAGACCTGACCTCGTGGTGACCTGCCTCTTTTCTACCTACACCAACCAGCCAGCGACACCCCCTCCTCCTCCGCCTGCCTGGCGGTACTCGGTCCCGCCGGCGAGCATGGCGACCCACAAGCTGGTCCTCCTCTGAGCATCCTCACCAACCAGCTCTCTTTACACAACGCTTGTAACCATGCTGCCTTCCCAGTACCAAGCTGCATTGTACATCCAATACAACATGTATATAGAGAGCACATTGTGAGTTTCCTTTCTCCATCCCATCCTGAGTGTGAACCAAACATCCTGAACTCCACAATACCACCCTCAGTGTCAAGACCTGACTGAATTACTCAGAATAGGCAAACTGTACTACAAGCTCTGCCAATAAATTTGTTAAACAAACAAAATATAGACATATACTTATGAAAACATTTATTTGCGTATGTATAACAGAACATTTCATAATTTAAAAGCCACACACAGTTAATTAAGCACCACATGCAAACCTAAAGGAACTTTCTTTAATAAATATGAGGATGATCATAACAAAACATGCCATAACACAACAAAATGACACAAAAAGGAAGAAACACGCGCAGGAAAGGAACCAAAAAAGCATATTTTTGTTACAAACAGAACAAAATCATTAATATATTTTTATATTACATAAGACAAAAACAATATCAACAGGAATTGTAAACATGCCAAAAAGGTAAACACTAATAAAACAAATTAACCATAGAAGAAAACCTAAAACAAAAATAATGTTGCAAAGGAAAGAATAAATGACACGCAGAACAAAATATTTACATAATGCTTATATACAAAACTATTAATAAAAAAATAAATGCATGCAAGGAAACCAAATAAAGCATAAAACAAAACAAAATCATACATGCTCTGAAATATATGCCATATAGTAAAAATAATTGTATTTCCATGCAAGGCTTATAAAATCCATAATCAAATTTGATAATTAGATACCATGATGTTTACTGAAATGCCATACTGTACATACCATAGATGAATCTTATTTTTTTTCCGGAAGCCAGCACGGGTGTCGTCTTAATGTCATTTTGACAGTAAATGAATTTCGCGGTCACATAACAATAACAAACAGACGAGACTAACTAGTCGTTGCACACTAGCGCCATCTATTGTTTGGGCTCAGCACCTGCCAAGTACCAATGAACACATTTCGGTCCGTTTTCATATCTTTCGTATATAGTCTTTGGTATTTCATCTATCTCTTCTATTATTTACTTTGTTCTCTAATTTGTTGCCTCGCATTATTATATTAAATTTTATTATAATAACCAACAAAGAATATTGTAACAGTAATATTTTTAATTATTTTCAGATTTATAAGGTGTATAAACGGTGGACGGAAATAAAGTCCACAGGAAAAAAAGTCACATGACTTGTACGCATTGACACCACCCAAAAAAATATATGATGGCATTTCACATAGGTTAGGTTTTTTCCGTGCCTTTTTATCTGACATTTTTCCTGGATTCGTATAAACACCCGCCACTCTACTTCCGAACCTAAATCAAAATCAGAGACAACAAAGCCATATTCCTAGGTAATACTTTTATCCTCTTCGCCACTGATCGGCTTGTTAGCCGCTTGAACATGGCCCCTATTTCCCTTATTTTCTACAAAATATATATTGATTATTAAAATTACAATTCATTTATAAAACGATTATAAACTAACCCGAATGAGGGGGGGGGGGATTACACTTTAAATATCGTCAAAGTTTTTACCTTTAATCCCCGAACTAATGACAGAGACAAAAGTTACTGTATATATCTAAGCAGCAAAACAAATTTATCCCATACATTACTTTAAAAGAATCATATCGGTTTTAATAATCCTCGTTACCATTCAAAATTTAAAAAAATTACCTGGATGCAAGAGATATTCCACTTTTAATTCACTTATTTTCTATCAACTATATCTTAAGTCAAATCCTCCAGCTTTACCATACCCCCCCACCCATCCAATCTCCCTCGGTGACGAGTTAAATTTTGGGGAAATGGTGGAGGACCCGGTTAGCACCCGAAAGAGTTTATAGAATTACACCAAAATTTCTGGTTGTGTTATTTACATGATACTAAACAAGAAAATGTAAATGACAATGCACAGTACCTGACCTAACCTTGCCTAACTTCCAAATCAAAGGGCATATTAAGCAAAGACTATAAAACATAGTTACAGATATTCAGTTGTGGGATCATATGAAGATCCTCCCCCCCAAACCTACTTGGGGGGAGGATCTTCATATGATCTAGCCTGGGGGGGAGGATCTTCATATGATCAAGCCCAGTCGCGCTCATCTGAAGATCCACCACCCCCCCCTAACCTAACCTAACCTAACCTAACCTAACCTAACCTAACCTAACCTAACCAAACCAAACCAAACCAAACCAAACCTAACCTCCCCCCCAAACCTACTTGGGGGGGAGGATCTTCAGTTGGATACTTTGGGGGGGAAGATCTTCATATGATCCCAGTTGTGAACATGTTTATGGGTTCACAGCTGAATAGCCTGGCTGTCTATGTAGCCATCCCAGCTACGTAGAGTACCAGGCTATTCAACGAGACGGCGTAATAGCCACAGCATTACATAAATATCAACTACTTATGCAAATTAATTTCTATAAATAAAGACAGTTCAACACAGTGCTGACCCACATTGTGTTCACAGAAGAGGTTATAAGAAATAGACTGTCAAAGCTGAAGGTTCATAAGAGTCCTGGACCTGATATGGTGCATCCCAGAGTGCTAAGGGAGTTGTACAATGAGCTAACTGAGCCCCTGAAGATTCTCTTCAGTAAATGTCTGGATGAGCAAAAGGATCCCAGTGATTGGAAAATGGCTTATGCAAGTCTTATCTTCAAGAAGGGTGACCGTCACTCCACGAATAACTATAGACTGGTGAGCCTGACTAGCATAGTACTGTACAGTATGTAAAACTTAATTTTATTACTTTTTATTTATCAAGAAGAACCAATAAATATTTAATTTTATTAATTTAATTTATCAAGCAGAGTGCAGCAGTGACAACGTGGATCAGGGACAGCTACAATCAGACCTGGACGACTCCACCCAACCACCACCTCCCTAGGGAAGCCAGAAGCAGGATTAGCTGTGATCAGACCTGACCAACTCAGCCCTACCACCACCTACCTAAGGAAGAGGAAAGACAACGTCTCAAGAGAAGAAGAATTTCAGCCAGCAAGATCGATTCTGCTCTATTACATTTATGTACATAAAGTACTAATTATACTCCACCTTAACTCTATGTTATTACTAGTAGTATTAATATTAGTATTTGTATTAGCATTATTATTAATAATAAAAAGAGACAAGCTAAGAAGTGATGTATTTATTTACCCAAAATATCTATGTATGTTACGTAATATTTTCCTTACATCCTATATATATACAAATACAAGGCTTTGCTTTGTGCAAATATTATGCATTTGCATCTATATTAAGTCTGTGGCCTGCAAAGTGTACCACCATTTATGAAGTGTCCCGCCAATCAAAATACTTGTAATTGCCCACCACTGCATTAGAAAACGGTAGAAAATTTGTTTGTGTTATATTTTACCACAACTTTTTTGTTACAAGGAACAAGATTTTTTGAGAACAAGTACTGTACTATATATTCAAAATGCTTCTACACACACCTCTGTTCAACTACGGTAATATTAATATACCGTAACAAGTTAAGACACATAGGCAGTGAAGTGATTCAGGTGTGGGGGTTATGTAAAAATTATCAAACTTGTAAGTGTGGTATACAGTATACATTATTTTGTTTATTTACAGTGGTGTTTGCAGAAATAAATACAGCTTTTGTGTTTGTCCATGTGAGATGCATAGTTTAGACTCTTGGAAAACTTTTCATAG